AAAAACTAAATGTTTGTAACACTGGATATATATAAGTGGTATGCCACGTATATATAATACCTCACTATTGCGAATGAGATTGCATTCGAGGGTAATATTGAAGTCATACATTACCGTGCAGTTGATTGAGACGCGGAAACTTGACAAGGATGCCACGGTTCACAGATGAATAGATACTGCTTCGAATTTTAGTCGACAGACTATTTATTAACACCAGCAAAGGTACAAGTCAAAATCGGGTGAAGACGCTCACTGTGCTGGCGGTTCGCTCATATCCATCCCACACAGCCAACTACAAATATAAAAAGAGTTTGGTGATCACTGCATTTTAAGGTTGCTCCACGGAAGCAACTGCGAAGAATGCTGCGACGCAGTATTTCAGTATTTTTCGTAGTTGCTTCGCTTCACAATGCTGCGACGCCATTTGAGGAAGACGAAAAAAACAGACGGTGTCCGACGTACGATGGTAAGCCTCACGCCTACAGCAAACTTTTCGATTTTAAATGCTATCACCAGATCCTCACGCTGGCACGCAGAACATATTGCGAGTAAGTGTTGACGCAGTTAGGACTTAGCGACTTACGCTCGGGTAAGTGTAAAACCGCGGTAAAGAGCAGAGTTATTGCTGAAAGAACAAATTGGGTTGTGTGTGCGTTTGTACAGCCTAGAACTTGGTCTGCCCCAAGAGACAACGAGTCTCCCAGCTGTAGATGATAAATTTAGCCAGTGCAGTCCGACCGCTAGCCTAGGGTCTTTAACTCCAGGCTAGCGGCACGGGCACGGGCAGGGAGGCGGGGATCTGTGGTCGAGTGGGCTAGCGCACAGCAGCTCGGAGCGCGTGGAGCGAAAGCTCGCGCTGGAGAACCCAGAATCCTGGGCTCAATTTCCACCCCTGTGTTTCGATCTGGATGAGTATCGTACCGGCATGCGATCGTGTATCGTTACTGCGTGACGTACGTTAATTAGTGCTGCAAGATACTGGAGTCGTGGAAAAGCTGTCCGACATTCATATTGGAACTATTTATTTGCAAGAAAAAGATTGGTTGTCCCAGGTCGTGACGTCAGAGAAACGATGAAACGTGTTTGGTAGTGGAGGAAAAAAAGATTCGCTTTGAGGTGCATTTGCCACTACCTTCTTGACTTGTAACCGATTATAAGGCGCGCTAAAGTTTGGCTTTCCTCTTGTCACCTACAGGAGTTCCGAAGAACGTGCCCTACTTGAGCCATAACCGGAACAGTAACGCGCAATTCGGGGATTTCGAACATGCCAAAGTTTGGCTTTTCTCTGGTCCGCGACATGAGTGCCGAAGCAATTGCCGTACTTTAGCCATGACTGCCAAAGTAAATAGTAATCTAGAGTTCCGGACGTGCCAGAGTTTGGCTTTTTTTATTTGCCTCACGATCACCAAATATGTTCTAAAAGTGCCAACGGAAGCCCAAAGGCCTGCCGAAGTTTAGCATTTCTGTGATGTGCCCTTTCACGCGCTCCAGGACAACCTTAAATTTGATAAGCGTTCAAAACACGATGGCAACATGTCATCCGTTCCGTTCCGAAGCCATCCGAAGGTACTTGGCAGTATTGTGCCACTACCCGCCGAAATTCGGATCTAATATCACTTGAATGTCCAGTTTGGCACCATCGCTTGATATCCGGCAGGTATTTAAAGTACGTGTCACAAAATCAGTTTTTTTTTTTTTTTCTGAAGCCTCGTTTATCGGCACGGTTTATATCTTCTAATGTTCTGACTTCAAAAATTTTGAGCTCCCTCATTGTTAGCATTGAGAGGAGTGCTACCATAGGTGAGAAAGAAAAGCAAAATACTAAATGAAAAGGAGGTGAGACTCGCTACCGCTTTGGTCAGATCTGGCACCGTCACCGAGGCAGCCGAGTTTTGGTGGGCGGCGGCTCAGCAGTCACCAGACTAAAGTTTCTGCAGGGTGTTCCGCGGACGCAACAAACTCAATGACGCTGTTTAGATTTCACCCTTGCGAATAACCTCGATGTGGCTGATGTTAGGCTGCTACACGGTGGTTGATCGATGCACGGAGGAGGTAGGATTTCTGTGGACCGAACTACATGCAACGCAAAAATTTCAGAACTTGAAGCAAGTTTCAAACATAAAAAATAACGTCGGTGGAATGTCACCGAAAACGTCTTACGCAAGGTTACAGTAGTGCTAAAGGAAGCCGGCCAAATCATATCGGCGCTTCGTTGTAAACATAGGGGTCGCTTATTTGCAGTGGCGAACTGATGATGGCACGTTAGTGAAATATAACTCCGTGTTGACGAATGTAAGTGTGATGGCACTTAAGTGGAAGTTCAATGGCTGCATGTATGGCGACTCTCTTAAGCACGACGGCAAGATGAAGGAACCGTAATATTTGCATCTATGACGTTAATAATATATCATGGATCGTGATGAAAGTGTATAGGCTACCTTTTTGTTTCCACTAGCGTTTTGCAACAGGCTAATATTATTATGAATATTAAATTTATATCATTAATATTATTATTAGTATGAAAAAACCAAAAACTTAAAAAAGAGGAGCACATGTGAATGTTATCATGTTCTTTGATATTTTATAATAATGACTGAATATATAATCCCAGCATGTGTATTTTCTTTCAGTACGGTGCTACCTTGCTTGTTTCATGACGTGAATTTCGGGAAGCAATTTTTACAGTGCAGCCTAACGTCAATAAACTGAAAGACTGGTCCACTTTCCAACCGTTCATAAATCATCTTTTGCAACTAAGCTTCTCTGCTTCCCCAATCCATCGCAGTCAAAAAAGTCCGTTTTCTATTATGTAACCTCTCCGTTAGACAACCACTTCAAACCATGGAAATACTGTTCATGTTCTCGAATTAAATCCTATTGCACTGCTTACAAAAGGTCTTGCGAAATGATGTTGACCAGTAACGTTCAGCAAGCTCGTGCCTAGTGCATGAGTTCTTCGTAGATTACCATCACGTCGACTTATGTTCTGTTTTTCAAAGGTCGAATAAGACGACTTATGTTTTAAAATGACATTGATCGGCGCGTAGCCATACAAACTCGTGAACTACGCAAGAATCATGCAGTAATTTGAGACGACGCACATGTATCAATTCAAAGCACCGACTGTTCATCCAAATGGTGTCTTTTTCTTATTCACGGAAATTTTAATATTTTATTCTTTTTTATTTTTATTCACTCGCCGCCAGCACTTCGCCATGCCAGTACGTTGACCTTTGTAAGATAACTTTTGATTTTTTTGGTTAAGACTGTCTTACGGAATCGCCGTGGTAATAACAATTAAACCATAAAACACATGCTTTCTCCAAAGGTGTTCGTACGTTGCTCTTGACTCAACTCTCTACCCATTTGATTTCTTTGTCTTCTGTCCGGAAGTAGCTTTGCGTTGTTCTTGGTTAGACTGAGTTGTATATATGTGACGATTCCCCCCTTCGGCGAGTCTCGTTCATTCACAAGACGACGTGCTTGAGGATTTCGTTTCCGAGGAGCTTCCAGAAACAGGTAAGGCTCACCTCATAATAAATATTGTTAGACCCCATCACGGTTTCTTATTAGAAAATTGAATTTCCTATCCACCACATTGGCCGCTGTTTTAATAAATATTATTCTCAACTTGTTTCCCCACTCTTGCCATGCTCGCTGTACTCCTTAGAACCGGGTGAGCGATGTTTTTGCTCATCGTTCGCCTTCTATGTTGACGCGATTTGTCTCGAGCTTAAGGAACACCGAGCTTGTGAAAATTTTGTCTAGCTATCGAATGTATTGCAAAACCACGTCGCCATGAATCGAAAACTAATATCAAAACTTTACAATCACATTTGAAAGCATGTTATTATGTATGAGCAAACTTGATAGACTTGGTAAAACAGACTTGGGGAGATAAAGAACAAAGTGAAGCCTGCCTGTTTGTGTTAATAATGTTATTAACCTTAAAGGGACACTGATATTAAAACAAAAATTGTTCCTTAAACGGCGATTTGGGAAACGTACTTTTTCTGGACTTTTTTACGCGGAAACTAATTTGTTTTCGCGAAATACTTACACAGCTAGACGTAATTTAGGTGGAGGTAGACACCTCTAGGCTCCGCCGAGGACCGTATCTAGCTACACTCCATTTCTCGGCTATCCTTGGTTGGAGAGATGATTGAAGTCTAAAATGTTCGTGGTAAAATTGTTTCTGCGTGCACCGGTACTCTTTCATTTGTCTTTTTCGTTTTGTTTTAGAAACAATATATAGATAGAGGAATTTTTGTTTTTCAAAAATATAACCAGATTGTATTTTCTGCTATGGTATCAAATGTTAATGAACATGGCTGACGGCGTTTGTGGTCAACAGTTTCACAGTCTGCGAAGCTCAAAGACAGCGCCTGTTTTTATGGACCCAAGTGTGTAGCCTTCACCGAGGTGTTAAGAGAAAAGTTTATATTTAACCGAAGTAGTTCGCAGAAAAAATCTGTCGCAAGTACAGGTATTTGGATACGCTACGCGGGCACTTGCTTTCGTGGCGGGACTACTTCCATCCTTAAAAAAAGTTTTTACACTACGAATTTTTAAATTCTTTCTTTAGATGCTGCTTTAAGTTTGGTCATAAAAACCGCTGTCTTGACAAAAAACAAAAACTCGAAGTAAACTTGATCCATTAAGTTTGCTCTTTAGATTTAGGTGCGATTAATACTCAACATTTTCTAACTGCCCTTTATAATTGTGATAAAAGTTTGTCTGAAGGAAGTTTAGTTTTTAGAGAGTTATCGTTTAAAATACCTTTTACGTCATATTACACGTTGTAAAATCGCAGAATCATTGTATCTTGAGGGAAGTACCTTAACCGAAGCGGCATGTAGCAGTTTCTTTTTGAAAGGTTGCTTGTGCTTTCGCAGTCAGAGACCGAATCACTAAAAAAAGTGAGTGTAAACTGATTAGATATATTTAAACCCTTTGCTTATGTAAAATTTAATTGTGTGGTTTTTGTATTACAGATATTGATCACTATGCTTAACGGTTATCGGCTGGCGTTCCTTTGCGCAAGTATTTACGTAAACGTCGATTGCGGTGAGTGGTATTAAGAATTAATCAAATGGATATGTAGCAAATAAGATTGACATTTATTTCTCAAACTCTATCAGCAAACAGTTCTTGCGAAAACGTTTTTTCTTTAATAAGTCTGTGTGTGTGTTTTATGATTCATTCGATCTTAAAATCGAATAATTTGTATTTTTGTCATTAATTTCTTTCAAATCCGCTTGTTATAAACAATCAATATTTTTTTTCGATGCCAAGCGAAGTCAAGGTTTAAAGCGGTTATTTTGTTCCATTTAAAGTATGGGAAGCTTGGTGACCGCTCGTTGAGTCTGTTTTCTTTAAATTCAGTAATCCGTCAACATTACTTTTAAGGATATCTTTAATTGCTTAAAGTTTTTGGTATTTATTTAGAAGATATCGGAAAATTGCTCGGCTCATCGCTTGAAAAACAGCCTGCGTGTACAAATTCCCCTGCCTGAAAGTCATGGTGTTTTTAGCATCTTGGGGGCTAAGGCGATTTCGCTCCTTAAATGTTAGTACCGCTATCTCTTCGTGCGATTGTGGAGCGAGTGAGAAGAAAAAACGACTGTGTTGAGGCACAGGGAAAAATAAACGGCCACCGCTTATGCAGTTCTAGACAAGAAGCCACTGTTCATTGTGCGTTTCGCTGTCATGATAAGTTAGCATGCAGTCTTCCGCTGCTTCAAGAAATAATAACGCAAACAATGGAATATTGCTGCATCTCGCTTTTATTCAAAGAAAAAGCTACTGGTTAAAGATTGTAACTAGAGTACGCATACATTGAAAACATATAACCAGAACACCCATATTATCTGCAAGTGCAAACTATCTTAGCATCTAAACTATACTTTTCTCATATCTCTAACGTAATCGATATTCTAACCATTGACTCATCGTAGCCCAGTGAATTCATATAGTGGGATTCCAAATGCATGGCCTTATTAGATTACGATAACCGTATTCCCTTCCTTACCCCATGAATTTTGAACGGAATATGTATTTTTTTTTTTTATTTCTGTTTCGGTTTTGACGGTAAAAACGGAGCCCCATATTTCTTTAGCACAACGTTAACTGCTTGTGCTTTCAAATTTCACAGGACCCCAGCCTACTCGGCTGCCAGTGAAAAACAAAATGTGGCTCTAATTCACGCTTTGAAGGTGGTTGGACAGAGAAGATGTAAACGACCTCGGCGACAATTACCCATTGCGATGTCACTTGAAAATTCACACACGTGGCTCTACACAGAGTGAAACCAGAGACAAGTTAAATGTACTTAACCACAGGCTTTATTACTTCAGAACGACATTCACAACTACTTTATGATCAGGGCGATACACACTGAGATTTTCGCTTCTCACTGCAGAGATATTCTTTGTTAAGACCGGTCTCCCTTTTATATATGAAAGCGTGGTGACGTCACTACGTGATTTCCATGCTTTTGAGTACTTTTCCACTCGAAGCAGCTTACTCAACCGTAATCTTTACCGGGCAACACACGCGGGAAGAAGGCACGTGCTTCGCAGTGTTCGCAAGCGCCATTATGATTCATTATGCGATCGATTTGCACTTCTCACGAGGGCTTCGACTGACGCCAACCCCTTCCGAAGCAGCTGCAAACTTACTTTTTACCGGAACGCGTGGGAGGGTGTTCCTATTGTTGACACGCGCCTTATTATCCATGATGTGGTTTTGATGTGTCTTTTGTGGTTTTCCTTATTGAAACGGATTCTGAGCTTTGTGCTGTATGCCTCATTTCAAAGCAGATATTCTGTATTGCCTTCACTTGTTCGCCGGGAGTTTTCTTGCTTACAACGCCAACGACACGAAAATTTCCTTGGCTGGTAGAGGTATACAGCTTCGCTGTAAAAAAAGTCGGTATTCATAATAAAGGCTCTGTATTCACAGTTCGGATCAAAATATACCGGTGAATATGTTTTCGGCCATACACGTTGACAAGGGCGGATTAAAGAACATATCGCAGACACTTATGCTGCTTACGCCTAGGAATGCGAAAGCATTCCTACACGCAGCGCATTCCTACAAGCAGAGCGCCACGTATTCGTTTTGCACACGGCGCTCCGGCGGTGACGTCACGCTCCACCACTGCGTAGGCGCGGCGCCCCCGCCGACGTCATGGCTTCCGGGATGAAGCAGGTGCGTTGCTGTGCTTCTCTTTTATTTCTGAGGCGCATCCACTTTGGACCTTGAGCGGCGCGTGCTTGATGATGTATTTTTATGGCCATATTTCGGGGACAACGTCCACCCTTCTTCGAGTAATGGGACATATAAGGCTTTCGCCTTCATATTTGCAGACGTCATTTGTTGCCTTTTTGCTTTTAATTCTGAGAAGTTGTCACCCACATGCAGGACCTTCCAGCAGCCTTGTGTGTAGCTGAAAACATTCATTACCGAAGGAACGCGGTTTATGTCTCTCTCTTCGTGCGGGGCTCGAGCCACATCTGGTTTGTCGATCATCTTGCCTAGAAAGCTCATCACCTTTGACTGGCAGTGCTTGAGTCATGTAGGCGGAAGGTTTTCCAAATGACTCATGTGTTCCCAGTCAAAGGTGATGGAGTTTTCCGGCAAGTGTGTGGTGTGCTTCCGCTGTGCATAGAAAGGTTTCCCGCCTTTTCAAACTTCACGGCAACACATTACAGACTTTTAGGAAACCGATTTTAATCTTCAATTGGTCGAGCCACGTCCCGATAAAATCGCCAAATAATGCGTCGCCAACACATCATCGCATCGATCACAGAATTGCTATTCCGCTCGCAGAAAAAGAAAGATCGAGATCAAATGCAGAATAATTCCCCTTTGTGTACTTGGTGAGCTGAGCGCAGTGTTATTCCTGTGAAAGACCGCAATAAACTAAAAACAAGTAATACGACATTCTAAGCATCATCCTTTATACTTCTTCTGTATAAGTCAGTGATAGGACCTTCATTTGATAGCGCAGCAGCCGACTGGGGATTTGGCATGGAATACCTGACTTCGCAACTATCACCTGTTCAAAACTAATCCCTACATGTCATATGTAATAACTACAATCGCACTACACAGAACCTCTATGAAACGTTCATTGTAATTACCGAATCTACATTCGCGGAGCAGTATTATCTTTCTTCGTTGTTCACCGAATTTACTAGTATCATTCTGAACTGTAGAAGCGTAAAAATCTGGGCTAGTTGGTGATGCATCGGAATGAAAAAACAACGCATGAAAACGACGTACCAGTAGAAAAATATAACGCCTTCTCTGTGTGTATACTCTTCTACTAATCTGACGTTTTGTTTGAGCTGTTTTTTTTTTCTTTATTCCGATGCATCACCAACGATGTATCACCGTCATTATCTACGAAAAACCCCCTTAATTGCTAATCGCATAGATCGCCGAAACAAACTTGACGCCTTTACATTTTGTCGTTCTTAAGCTGAGGATCGATATCGGTGCTTTCGATTTGTCCCTTTTCCACACTCCTAATCCAGGTGAGGCAGGACTGTTTTAGCGGTCACAATCCCGCGTAAACAACCGACGCATCTGAACTGATCCCACTGGACGATTTGGCCGGCCCGGCGACCTCGCCAACCTCGCCGCATGCACTCACCGACGATTGAAAGGAAAGGACGTAGCGCGCTTACTTCGATTTGCGCCAAGCTCCGTCGTAATTTACGAATCAAATTCGGCAGGGTTTAAAACGCGCCACGGGCAGGTGCTGCCACAAACCTTGCGGGGCAGAAAAAAATACGGAAATTTCAAAACGACTAAAACATTAGTTGTTGTAGAAAAGAAGTGACCAGTCGTCATCCCTCCTAAAGAGACTTTAAGCAAAAGTTAATCAAACAGTAACCCAGCGTTTCGAAAAGAGTTTGGTCTCTCGTTCACGGGTGAGCGACGGTTCTTTCTGTCACTTTCCCGTGAAAAAGGACCATAATGGTCTTGATACTTCGGGTTACTGTTTATTAAACTTTTCGTCAGAGTTCCTGTTTTCATCTAGTGACTATTCCTAACCAGGCAGAACGCTGCCCTAAAGTTTACATTCAATCCCCTATTTACACAGGATCTCACACACTTCAAACAAAATGTATGCAGCCGCTGGGACAAAGTTTACCTTCAATCCCCTATTTATACAGAATCTTACACACTTAAAACAAAAATGTATGCAGCCGGTGGGAACCCATGCAATTTTGCTTCTGCCCCGCAAAAAGAAAAGAAAAAAAAAGAATTAAGGTTTGTTTAAGAGTTAAGGCGAATGGCAAAGGGAATAGCGGGGAACGAGTGCTGTGAGAAGCTCGCTACTCCGATGGTTCCATGGGCTATGGGGGTACTGTATAAATTACCACTCTCCTGTGGCCGCATTTACGTTGAGCAGATGGGACGCAGCCTGAACGATAGGCTACGAAAACAGAGGTATTATCTGGGAGCTAAAGCCCGTCAATGTCTTTGCGTTTGCTTTACAAGTAGCGTCGAATGTGCCAGTGTACGAAGCCCGTGTCTTGGACGCCCTTGGAAGCAAACGGGGGCGTAGCGCTAAAATGAGTGGCCTTTGGAAGAGAATGGCGGTGGAGCCCCCCCTCGTAGCACGTGTCTTGCACGTTACATCAACAGGGGTTGGCACCTTTATCAAGGGTCTTTACTAGGAGTTACTGTGGGAGGCCACCTGTCGGCTCACTGTAAAGACCGCCTGTTCCAACCGTTAAAGGGCACAATGACAAGATGACACGCTAAGTACTTTAAGCATTTCACATCCACAGTGGGCGAAAAATGCGCATAAGCTTAGCGTCGCTGGTGTTGTCTAGGAACAAGCTGGAGTTCTTGAAAATGATTATCAAGGGCCAGCGCGTGCCGCAGTGACCAACTACCACGGGTGAAAGTTGTGCTTGTGAATGTGTGATGCCCTGCTTGTTTTCTTTTTTTCTTTTCTCTAAGTGTCTGTGTGCGTTGTGCGTTTTCTTCTATCGTTTCGATAAGTAAAGTAACGAGTAGATGCGAGTCAGCGCGTTTCCTGTTGT